CTTCCTTCCTTCCTTCCTTCCTTCCTTCCTTCCTTCCTTCCTTCCTTCCTTCCTTCCTTCCTTCCCTCCCCTTAGGCTGTTGGGACTTATATTGTGATTCTTTTCATAACAAGTGCATTACAATGGCTATTTGTCCTTTGCATTGTGGGTCTAGAATTAATAATGATAGTGCAGTCTATATCTACAGTGGTACCTCAGGTCCAATGAGTACCAAAACTGATGAATAACAACATTTCCCCGATAAGGAATAATGTCGTCAATCACAAGACAGCTGATACCAACAAGTTCTCGCTTGTGCATTGAGCACCAAATAAATGATGAGTACTGGGACAAAATTTTCACATTAAAATGCACTGAATACCAAATTTGATGGGTTCAAAGCAGTTGAGTATCAAGGTATCAATGTACTTCTGAATACGTTGAAAAGAAATATTGGTAGTGCAAATGCTTCTCAATATTTTCCCAACAAAGTGCTTCCACATGACTGCTGCTAATACTACTATTATTACTACTACTTATTTCTTTACTATAACAATGTAACTGCGAAGAGAAATGAAAATAATTGAAATAATCATTTTTGCAATCTGACATGGAAGAGTCTAGCTACCTTGCTTATGTAGTTACAGCCAATTAACAATTTGTCTATTAATTATATATAAGGTGCATATTCTTTTTTTAGCTTCTATATGGTTGGACTAGATGATCTTTGCTTCCAAATGATGATTTTCCTCTAGGGAACAATAACCATGATCCAAAATTGCATCAGCCTTTTCAGGATTATGATACCCCAACGTACTGTTCAATTTACATCAGAATTTCCTGTACATTTGATAGCACTTAATGTAATCTTTTGGGATGTCATACATAAAAATTTTAACAAATTTCCACTAAGCACATTGTTGCTAAATCAGTTTCCACTTTAAGGAAGTGCTAATGGCAAGTGTATCCCAAATGATTACAATTACTTTGAATAAAAAAAAAACCTTAATCTCTGTAATGCCTTATAAAAGAAACATAACTTTCTCTTAGCTAGCTGATTAATTAAATGCCACTATTTAATAGCCTTGTTTAATGTATCAATGTAACACTGAAATGTAAATATGAAGTCTGTACGAAGTTATATAACACCTGCAGTTACTGCAGAGCTTAATATGATTACTGAATAGAAATGTATGTGTTTGTGTGTGAGGATTTTAATGAATATTTTAATGCCCTTTCAAGCATCTCTAATTTTATCACTACCAATAATTTAAAATGTGACCCTTGTAAGCATTTTCCTCCATGAATTTATTTAGTCCTTTTAAAAACATCTACATTTTTAATCGTTAGTGACATACACCTGCATTTTAACCAGAGAATGTCTAGGGGAAAAAAAGCTGATTTATCAGCCTTGAATGAGTCCTAAAACACTTGGATGACTGCAAATTTTAATCATGTGAGTTTTGGATAAAAACTTCTTAAATTTCTCCCACTAGTAATGGTTTATCACTATTATGCCCATGGGACCTTTATGTAAGAAAAGAAATATCAAACATGGAATATTTACATAGCCCATGATCATATATAGGGAGTATATCAGTATTTGCATGACGGCTGACATGACATGACATATATGCCAAGCCCTGGGCCTTTTATATGCACCTAAAGTAAACATAGGGGGATGTGGTGGCTCAGTGGCTAAGACACTGAGATTGTCAATCAGAAAGGTTTGCAGTTTGGGGGTTCAAATCCCTAGCACTGCCTAACGGAGTGAGCTCCCATTACTTGAGCCAAAGTGACGCAGTGGTTAGGGTGCAGTACTGCAGCCACTTCAGCTGACTGCCAGGAGTTTGATNCCTCCCCCCCGCTCCCTCCCCCTCTCCCTCCCTCTCCCCTTCTCTTCTCCCTCTTCCTCCCCCTTTCTCTCTCCTTATCTCCTTCCTTCTCCCTCCCCCCCGCTCCCTCCCCCTCTCCCTCCCTCTCTCCTTTCCCCCTTTCTCTCTCCCACTCTAATTCTCTCTCCCTCCCTCCCCTCTCCCTTTTTCTCTTCTCAATCTCCCTCCCTCTCCCCTTCTCTTCTCCCTCTTCCTCCCCCTTTCTCTCTCCTTATCTCCTTCCTTCTCCCTCCCCCGCTCTCCCTCCCTTTCTCCCTCCCTCTCTCCTTTCCCCCTTTCTCTCTCCCACTCTACTTCTCTCTCCCTCCCTCCCCTTCTCTCTTTTTCCCTCCCTCTCCCTTTCCCTCTTCCTCCCCCACTCTTTCTCTTTCTCCATCCCTCTCCTTCCCTCTCCCTACCTCTCTCTCTCCCTCTCTCCTTCCCTCCCCCTCCCTCCCTCCCTCTACTTCCCTCTCCCCCTTTCTCTCCTCTTAGAAATCACTCCAAGGAAACTCGGGGGAGATTTTACTCCTGGGAAAATCGGCTCAGAGAGATCCCACTTCCACCGCAAAGGAAGCCCGCTGAGTTCGGGAGCTTCTCTCCCCTTCGCCCGTCCGAGGAGGCCGTTGGCTCCGCCAGCCTGGCTGCCGAGGCTCTGTGGGCGGGGATGGAGAGAAAAGGGGGCGACGGCGCTCACTTCCCGCCCCGTTTCCTCGGAGGGGCTGCGGGGAAGCTTCGGAGGCGGCGGGGCTTGCAAAGGGGACAATGGCGGGCGCGGGGGGCGGCGGCGGGCGCGCTGGACTTTGTCCCCCGGGCGGCCTGGAGCAGCTGGAGCTGGGACAGCTGGGACCGCCTTCAGGCTCGCCTTCGCCGCCGCTTTCCTCTTGCTCGAGGCAGGCCTGGAGCCGGGACAACCCGGTCTTTGAGCCCGAGGAGGAAGACCCGCCTAGGGTGGCGACGGCGGTAGCCGGGCCGGTGCTGAGGATGGACGTGGAGTGGGGCCGGGGCGAAGCGGCCTCGCCGACACCCGACGCCGCGCAGGGAAGGCAGCGGCGGCGCAGGCGGAGGGGCGATGAGGAGGAAGAGGAGGAGGAGGAAGGCGGAGGGGAGCGGGGCCGTCCCTTCCCCGCCGCCGCAGGAGACGCCCTGCCCGCGCGCTTCGCTCCCGAAGAGGGCGACGGCGAGGCCGCGGAGCCCCCGCCGCACCGCATCGCCTGGCCCAAAGGGCTGGCGAGCCGACTGCGAGGTGAGTGAGCGCCCGCCTGGCTCAGCCTCGCCTCCCCGCCTTCCGCGGCTTGCTTTCCCTCTCCTGGAAGGAAGGGCAGCCCTTGGCGGATGCCTCTACCTGTCTCGCCACAGCCAACTCGCCCCGCCGGGACAATAGTTACTTAATATGGAAGAAATGGGAAAATAGAGTCGTTAAAGAAAGGATGCAGAAGGAAGGGACAACATGAAGTGGGAATGACAAAAATAAAAAATATTTCTACAATAGAATAGGGAAAGAATGAAATTAGGAAAGAATTACTAGAATAGAATAGAATAGAATAGAATTCTTTATTGGCCAAATGTGATTGGACACACAATTTGTTTTTGATGCAGATGCTCTCAGTGCGCATAAAAGAAAAGATACATCATCACAAATCATAAGGTACAACCCTTAATGATAGTCATAGGGTACAAATAAGCAATCAAATCATATTAGGAAACTATAAATCGTAAGGATACAAGCAACAAAGTTACAGTCTTAAGTGGGAGGAGATGGGTGATAGGAACGATGAGAATATTAATACTAATAGTGATGCAGCCTTAGTAAAGAGTTTGACAGTGTTGGGGGAATTATTTGTTTAGCAGAGTGGTGTCGTTTGGGGGAAAAACTGTCCTTGTGTCTAGTTGTTCTGGTGTGTAGTGCCCTATAACGTGATTTGGAAGGTAGAAGTTGAAACAATTTATGTCCAGCATGTGAGAGGTCTGTAGATATTTTCACAGCCCTCTTTTTGACTCGCACAGTGTACAGGTCCTCAATGGAAGGCAGGTTGCTAGCAATTGTTGTTTCTGCAGTTCTAATTATCTTCTGAAGTCTCTGTCTGTCTTGTTGGGTTGCAGAACCAAACCAAACATTTATAGAGGTGCAGATGACAGACTCAATAATTCCTCTGTAGAATTATTTTAAAGCATCAAATAAACTTGCCTGTGGTAAGTTTTCACACAGCAAATTGGCCGTGACAAATTGTCCCATGTGGAGTTGGCTCTGGCAGAAAGCGAGTTGGCTATAGCGAAGTGGTGAGTTGTCCCATTCTGTCTACATGTGGCTGTCAAGAGGACTGGGACCTGAAAGGGTCAGAGTAAAGCTCAAAAAAAAAAATGTAAAGCAGGATGGGAGACCATCAGGAGAGCCCAGGGTTGTAGATTAATTGGACTGAGAATTCCCCCCCCCCCAAAAAGGTTCCAGAAGACAATAGCCAGCAACTTCCATAATGTTTACCAAAACAATTGCATTGGTTCAAAAGGCATTGAATTGTAGTTATAAAGAATGATGGGTTACAGTGTATTTTCGGTACATGGTGTTTTTTTTTAAATTTATTAACTCGCAGGTCAATCATTGTTGTCTGAATTTTATTCTTTTGGTGGGTGACTCAACTTTTTCCAAATTGATATCCTTCAGATGGGTTTGATGTTGACTTTAAATTGCAGTCTGTGCAGGGATGGACTTCCAAAATTTCAGTAATGGGTTCTCTGCCCGGTTTCTGGGTGGGTGTGGCCATGGTGGGTGTGGCCTAGTCAGCGTCCTGCAGCAAGGCGGAGGGGGGGGTGTTTTTGCCTTTCCCAGGCTCCAGAGGCTTTTCTTGAGCCTCTGGGAGGGCGAAAACTGCTTCCCCCAGACTCTGGAAGCCGGAAATGGGCCCCAAACTTCCGGAGGGCACCTTTCCCCCCTCCCCGAGCCTCTGTATCCAAAACAGGCTGCATGGAGACTCATGGGAAGGGAGGGGAGGGGTGAAGCGTGGTGAGCATGGGTAGCCAGGGGTGGGATTTGGAGGTTCTCTGAATCAGTCATAATGTTAGCTACGGGTTCTCCCGAACCCGGGAGTCCCCGTAGCAGCCCACCCCTGAGTCTGTATTTGTTTTAAGTGGAGAAAGAATAGTTATGAATAAAAAGTTTAGGGCTTCCTTTATAGATCCAAACCAGTGGTGGGTTTCAAAATTTTTTGGAACCTCTTCTGTAGGTGTGGCCTCCTTTCCGGGTCCACTGGTGGAACCTCTTCTAACCAGTTTGGTAGATTTGACGAACCGGTTCTACCAAACTGGTGTGAACTTGTAGGAACCCACCTCTGATCCAAACATAATGTTCCTACATGTTCTCATTTTGGACTTAAGACCATCTGGATAGTCTCATGACAAAATTTAGTATCTTTAGACAGTGGTGGGATTCAGCCAGTTCGCACCACTTCGGGAGAACCAGTTATCAAGTTTCTGAGCAGTTTGATGAAATGATTGTTGGAAGAAATAATTAGGGCAGAGAACTGGTTGTTAAATAGCCTTTGACTGGGTGAAATGGTCTATCATAAAACAAAACTTTTTCAACCAAAATACCATTAATGGGCTAGTGGACAGAACACATCCAAAATCTGGAACCCATGATTCCTGTGGAATTGAGATTTGGCAAATTTTATAAAGCACTGTATGACGTCAACATTGTTACCAAGCTTTTGTGATATAATACAAAATGTTATAAAACACTTCCTCTGGTCAACTGCTGATGTTCAACAATAACACATTTACAGAGTAATGTGGGTTACTTTCAAGGCATAGTCATCTCTGAATAGCTATTTGAATTCTTAAGAACAGGTAGTCCTTGATTTACACCAGTTCGTTTAGAGACGTGGCTCACGACCATTTTTCACACTTATGACCGCTGCAACATTCTGGGGATCACATGATCAGAATTCAGATGCTTGGTAACCCGATTGATATTTGCAGTATCCTGGGATCATGTGGATCAGCTTTTGTGGCCTGACAAGCAAAGTCGATGAGGAAACCAGATTCATTTAACAACCATGTTGCTAACTTAACATCTGCAGTGGTTCAGTTAACCACTGTGGCAAGAAAGGTTGCAAAATGGGGCAAAACGCACGTGTCTCACTTAGCAACATAAATTATGCACTCAATTGTCGTACATTGAGGACCACCCATACCTTGGAAGTTCTGCCATTGTTGAAAGCACTGAGAAATCTGGTAAGGAAATATCTCTGAAGGCCACCCAAGGAGTCACTGATTGTCTAGTTTTAACTATTACAATTAAAATATTCCTGAATACTAACCTTCCCTATCTATCTAAATTTAAAAGACATCAATGGAACCTAGCAGTTTTAATAAAAAAATAAAGTAAGTTATGCAAGTCTACTTAGTTATAACGTGGAACTGGACATATGCATTTGAAGAGCAATACACTATCACTATTTTAAACTCTCTCTGTGTGTTTCTTTCTTTTTCTGAAATCACATGATTTTTCTTCTGACATTACTGTGCTGCAGATGTAGGTATTCAGACGATATTACATAATTTGCCAACTTCCCTGCAATTTATTTGCATGCTTTGAGGCCTATCCCCGTTTTCTCCCAAAGAAAATACAAACATATCTTGACAACATCTTTCTGCTTATCTCTTTGACATTCTTTTATCTTGTCTCTGGGCCACGGGTGTCAAACTCACTGTGTCACATTGCCGTCATGTGATGTTTTTCCCAATCGCGGCACTGGGGCAGGCGTCGCCGGCATGGGACGCATCCGGCCCGCGGGCCACCACTTTGACATCCCTGCTGTAGGCCCTGAGCAAGGCAAGCTGAGATGGTCTCCAGCTGTAGGAGCAAAAATGTTTTAAAATGTAAAGTCTTAAGGAAAAACTTTAGGTTTTTGTAACTGTCCTAGAAAAATATGAAGCCTTTACTTTGGGCATCACACAAGATTCATAAACTGCTTTATTTTTTAAGCCTGTCTCAGACCTGTGCTTATTTTTTCCAGAAATAAAATACTTTTTTGCCAAGCGTTGCAAACTCCAATCCACTCGGAGTGTATTTCAAACTTTCTGTTGCTCGGCCAACCAGCCTTTGCTCATTTGTTCCAGTTCAGGATAACCATCTAGCTAGCTGCGAATTCCAGAAGAGTAGCCATATGAATCCGTAGAAGTAAAAAAATACAAACATAATTGCAGCTAATTTCAGTTTGTACTGTAAAGCAGGGTTTTTTTTGTATCCCACTCCTTTTCACGTAATATTATTTGTTTGCAACTTATTTATATGCAGGATGATTCACATAAGACAGAAAGTCTTGCTATAAGAAGCATATATTTTAAAAGTTAATTTAAAAAAACCACAAGTGATAATTATTTGAGAAGGATGTTAACAGCTAAAAAGAGCTAAACTATATTTGCAAACTTACTTATTGCATAATATAACTTAAGTTATACCCTTTTTCTTGCATTGCAATTCCTTTTGTGGATAGCTCATGCTGCTATTTTTAGTAACATGCCTTTGGTATGACGAAAGGAGCACATTTTGTACAACTACTGTTTTGATCTACAAAACTGATTTGATGCATTGCTTTTGGCAACATTTATCATTCAGATGTGGGAAGCCATGCTCCCCCTCCTAGAAGAATGAAATATTTTGAGGAATATTTAAAAAGGCAGAATATTATATTTTCCTAAATGGGAAAGGGAGGAACATGTTTTTTTAGAGGCAGGAAGCAAACTCAGTCTTTCTTAATAGCATCACCAGTATATATTTTGCACCAGTCTATTCAGAAATCAGCACTAGTCTCCCTGCCCCCCAAGCAGAAACTGAGGAGGCAGCTTTTAGAAATGCAGATTTGGTAATCCATTCATGACAGGATATTTTGAAACAAATGCAGATTGGTAGGATTTGAAGCAGCCCCCCCTCTCAAGATCGAACACAAGCGAAAGTCATTAGTGTTGAGGACTCAGAAAGTCCTCGACTTTACGACCTAGCGGCTAGCAACTAGCCAAGCCGCGCCCCGATTGGCTAAGGCGCGGCTTGGCTAAGCGCGGGCCGCTAGGGGCGCGCTTATTGGCTTTCCCTGCTTGACAGCTCCATATAAATAGCTGTCAAGCAGGGAAAGCCAATAAGTGCGCCCCTAGCGGCCCGTGCTTAGCCAAGCCGCGCCTTACCCAATCAGGGCGCGGCTTGGCTAGTTGCTAGCCGCTAGGTCGTAAAGTCGAGGACTTTCTGAGTCCACAACAAGATGGATCCATAACTGCTTGCCTGATGAACAAAGGTCAAAGCAAGAGCCAAGGTGGCGCAGTGGTTAAATGCAGCACTGCAGGCTACTGCTAGATCAGCAGGTCAGCGGTTCAAATC